TGTACATTGTCTCTACACTTTCAGTTGTTTATCATAGTGGCCAGTATCTCATCTTTCAGTCCTTTGTGTGGTGTACATTGTCTCTATACTTTCAGTTGTTTACCATAGTGGCTAGTATCTCATCTTTCAGTTCTTTGTGTGGTGTACATTGTCTCTACACTTTCAATGGTTTACCATAGTGGCCAGTATCCAGTATCTTATCTTTCAGTTCTTGTGTGGTGAACATTGTCTCTACACTTTCAATTGTTTACCACAGTGGCCAGTATCCAGTATCTCATCTTTCAATCCTTTGTGTGGTGTACATTGTCTCTACACTTTCAATTGTTTACCATAATGGCCAGTATCTGATCTTTCAGTCCTTTGTGTGATGTACATTGTCTCTACACTTTTAATGGTTTACCATAATGGCCAGTATCTGATCTTTCAGTCCTTTGTGTGGTGTACATTGTCTCTACACTTTCAGTTGTTTATCATAGTGGCCAGTATCTCATCTTTCAGTCCTTTGTGTGGTGTACATTGTCTCTACACTTTCAATTGTTTATCATAGTGGCCATTATCCAGTATCTCATCTTTCAGTTCTTTGTGTGGTTTACATTGTCTCTACACTTTTAATTGTTTATCATAGTGGCCAGTATCTCATCTTTCAGTCCTTTGTGTGGCGTACATTGTCTCTACACTTTCAATTGTTTACCATAATGGCCAGTATCTCATCTTTCAGTTCTTTGTATGGTGTACATTGTCTCTACACTTACAGTTGTTTACCATAGTGGCCAATATCTCATCTTTCAGTCCTCTGTGTGATGTCAATTGTTGACCATAATGGCCAGCATCTCATCTTTCAATTCTTTGTGTGGTGAACATTGTCTCTACACTTTCAATTGTTTACCATAATGGCCAGTATCTGATCTTTCAATCCTTTGTGTGGTGTACATTGTCTCTGCACTTTCAATTGCAGTTCCTTATGTAGTGTTTTAGTGTTTTTACTTAAATATCATCTTAGAGCGACTGGATACTACACGCCACAAATGCTGGATTAACTCTTGTAGCTTAATTCGACATTTTTTGGAGTCAGAATATGAGCCACTATGAACTTTCCAGCAAATTATACCATTCTCAGTATATGTTCCGCTAACACGGCAAGTTGAGCAGTTGCTATGGAAATGGCGATTCTTCTTTGCCTCATACATTCTTGATAGGATATCCTCAACAATCTCTGCGAGGGCTTCCCGTTTTTTAGAAGTTCTCTAGAAGTTTAGTTATTAGTCCTTCATTATTCATTCTTTGTGTGTGTGTGTGTGTGTGTGTGAAAAGGGAAAAACTACGTAATGGATCTTATCCATTATTCCACTTTTATGGTAAGTGCTCAGCGTTGGTAAAGATAGTTTCTTTTTAGATGGGCAACAAGACTGGTTGCTTATTGTTTCAGGGGCATTTAAGGTCGTGTAGATATAATAGAGTATTGGCTTGAAAGGACTGCTTCTGCCTGTTCCTACAGTGCGATAACGTTCTGGCTTTTATACTGAGGCCTCACTACAAAACTCAATACGTTTTCAGTTTAGAAGTGAAAACGTCGCCCCACTCTGGAAACAGACAGAAGCAGTCTTTTTAAGCCAAAATTGATAGCTTACTGCTCATGACTTCATTCATTGCTTTTAAGAGTAATCCCGAGATGAATTGTTTATGTCTTCTAGGGTATTTTCCAATATATTTTGCTTCTTTTGAAGGGGCCTGGTAAATCCTCTGGCTTCAGGTTTGAAAGATGTTATGGAACAAGGAGTTCCTGTAGTCCAGGAGGCATAGGTGGAGTAGGTCTTGGCAGAACACTTGGATACAGGCGATAGAGATCCACATTAAATAACATGATTCTTTAGCCTGCTACTTGGTCTTGAAAGAGGTCCATATGGCCGGTTAGGTTTTCCATGTGGTTTTGCATATCTGTTCATACTGTGGCAATCTTGGAATATGTTTTCTTTTTTTAATATCTGTAAACTTAGTACCGTTGGCAACGACATTTGATGCACCATCAAAGTTATCCAGTGTCTATTCTTGATTTTTCTTTTTGTGGACTTCCTAGTTGTTCTCCAGGACTTTTATAAACATGTAACATTTTAAGAACAGCTTCTGAGAGATTGGAAAAGCTTTCAATGTAAGTTTCTACCCAACTTCAGACTGTAATCTAGTTTTATATTGTATCTTGAATCAGTTATGTTTACTAAACTTGTTGAACTTAAACACGTCATATGACTTTAGACTTATCAAACGTATTTATAACCAACAGTTCAATTTCAAAGCGTGACCTATTAACTTAATGTGAGCGATCTGACATCAAAAAACAGTATTTTTTTTATATTGTGGTATAAATTCGGGAGAGACCAAACTTTAGAAAAAGTTTCAGTTTCCGTTTAACTTTCAATAAAACTAAAAACGTTGATTTAACATTTCTTTCTGTGTTCATGTAAACTTGAATTATTTGGCATACCTCATTTTTATCGAAATATAATATTTCATGTGTTTACTTACGTCTTCAGTGACCTTTTTATCCCATGTTCCCATTGTGTCAAGGTCATAAGAAACGTTTAGGGTTTCGGCGTAAGCGAGCTACCACGATCAATGTCCATCGAAGTGAAGAAATTGCCCCGCGGGAGTGTCGCCATCTGGTCAACCAAGTTAGTAGTGTCTCGTCAGACGGAGAAGGAAGTTTAAGTAGCGACAGCACTGCGTAAGTCCTGCGCGTGGATCTCAGTTGCAGGACAGGAGGCTTTAGGTGTTTCAGGTTACAGGGGGCAATGAAATCATGCCAACTAGAGAAAAATTGATTTTTATTTTCCTCTTTGGCAGAAGTCGTAACTAACATATTTATGTACATCTAATTGTTTTCTGTTCTTACAGTAATTAGCACAGATTTCCAGAGTCGGCATGGTTTTATAAATTTGTGGTGTTTTGTTTTTCAACAACGATAAAAGAAAAAAAAAACCCACTGAGTACTCCCACTGATTGAACCAAATTACTCCTACCATTTCATTCTTATTCCAACTACTCCTCATTCGATATCGGTTCATAAAGCATTAGTTTGTTGTTGTTTTTCTCTTGAAACTTACCGATACTTCCATCCTTAACTTCCCCTTTCTAGGTTGTTGCCTTTTTTTGATTCATTTTTATTGTTTGTTTCCCAAATATTTCATAGGTTTCTCATTATTAAACAGAAATTGGATAGTTTAATATTAAAGAAGCTTTTTTTTTAATATCATTATGTTTTGTTTTAAACAATTAAAAACTTTGAATGTAGTTTCGACTTATGCATGGTTTATTTTATTTTGTCTTATTTCCAGAGGGCGCTGGTAGAAAACGTAGTGGTAGTGGCATACAGCATAGTCGAGAAGTGTTTGCTTCCCCACACAACCAATATTTAACAAGACAAGCAAGCAGAGAGTCGACCGACGGTAGTTCGTCCTTGTAAGTAGGGACGAGGAAAGCGATAATTTAGTAACGATCATGTTTCTTCACCTCTTCTCTCTCTCTTTGCTCTCTGTTTCTCAAATTCCTGCACAAAATTTAAAAAATATATATATAAAAAAACTCACAAAGTCAAAAATAAATTTAATCCTATTTTTAACCATCCAGAAGTTATAAAATTTGTATATACATATTATTCATATGTATATGTTAAAGTATTTTTGACGAAAAACTTATTTCGTTAAATGCCCTTTGGGGTTTTTCATCGCCGATGTGCTACGCATGTTGTAACGTTATCGTTTATCGTTACTCTTACTGGGTATGCCTATAAAAAAGCTTTAAGGTGTGGAACCCGCATGAACAGCCAGTAAAATCTCAATGCTGAAAACGTTGCGCTTGCATGATGTTGTCCTGCACGATAGCATGAACTGAGAGAGCGTTACATCGTTCTTATGTCTGATTTCCAGCTTTGACATCAAGTGAAAATTTCGAAGTTTGCACAACCTGTAACTCAGTTATTTATCCTCCATCTCAGCACATCTTTACTCCTGTCCTGTAACTCTCTTTAAATTTGTATCATTTTTCTCTATATGATTATGTGTTTTCCAGGAAATGGCCAGCATTCCGTACTCTAGCTCATTCTCAAAAATAACTATACTTTAAGGTTGTCAAATTTCCTAATTTTGTCGATAGATGGCGTAACTGTATACGTATATAGCATATATAACAAAACAGGAAATAACAGACTATTCTGTTTTTTTCTCCTTTATTACTTTCTTTAACTTTTTTCGTGACTTCAAAGATCACTCTTCAGGAAAACTTTTACTGAGTATCTATAACAAAAAATTACTGTTGTTTTAACTAAACATAAATAATCTAAACTAAATACATATATTTTCTGAATGCACAAACATATAATACACTCCGTGTATAAATTAAGTATATTAAAAATACTCAAAAATAAATAAAATTAGTTAAAGTTTACATTTTCCTTTTTAAATTAAAATTTTATTATAATTATGCTTTCTCTTGTTATCATAGAAATACAATTTATTGAACCTATAATTTCATATTATTACATAATTTTTGTCTTTTCTGTTAAGTCATAGTTACAGTTTTCACAATTACTACAGACTTTACACAGCCAGTTACTTCTGCTCTCGTACCACTGTTTATTTAAAGTGGTGCCAAAAAATTTATAAAATATTTTTTAAACTATTTTTTATGTTTTACATTATATGCCACAAAAGGGGAAACATGAAAATATGGTTCTTTTTAGAATTTTTTTGTCCTTTCAAAATACATTTATTAAAATGTTTACTGAGATTTAGTAGACTTTTTTTCCAGGATGTTTAACATGGAATTTATTAAAATTTTTCCTTAATCTTAAATTATCTATTTCACCAATATATAGAATTCACCACGATTTACACATTCTAAAATATATATATTATGTTCTTATAATTACAATTAAATGAATTATTAACGAAAGACAAAATTTCTTTATTAGTGTTCTTTATTGGATATACTTAGTGTATACATGGAGTGTATTATATGTTTGGAAAATATATGTATTTAGTTTAAAAAAATGGTATTTGTATGTTTTTGTTCTAGATTCTCAGTAAAATTATATCTTGAAGAGTGACCTTTGAAGTCACGAAACCGGTTGAATTAATTAATAAAGAAGGGAGAAAAGTATAATAGTGTGATATTTCCTGTGTCCTAGGTTGAATCTTAATAGTAGTTTGTTTATATGTATCGTCAATAATAATTATTCTGATGACATCTTGGTGTAAATATCAAGTCCAATTCTTATCAATGTAAGTGCCCCATTTTCATCATAATTTTATCTCAAAGCTGAGTGTGATCTAGTCGTTAGGTGTTTGGCTTCGGATTGAAAGTTCTAAGGCTTGAGCCTTGGTGTCGTAGAACACGCTTAGCACTTTCAGCTGTAGTTGTGTTATAAGAGTGACAGCCACAACAAACCAATTGTTGCTGTTATTTCTGGTAAAATCACAACTATTTAATAAACACAATAAATTATTATTACTACTATCAGAAAAAAACATTATAGCTGGGCGTGGCCTAGTGGCTAGCGTGTCGAACTATGAATCGATTGATCCAAGGTTCGAGACGCAATCCTGCTGAACACGCTGCGCATTTTCAGATGTGGGCGTATTATAAAAATTATCCATCAAACCAGTCATTCTTTTCGGT